CTCCTCCTCCTGCTCCTCCTCCTCCTTCTCCTGCTCCTCCTCCCCTTCCTCCTACTCCTGTCCCCTCCTCCCCTTCCTCCTGCTTCCCCCCCCCACTCCTCCTCCTTCTTCTACCACCAGGACTTGAACCCAGGGGCACTTTACACTGAGCTACCCTACACTGAGCTACCCCCCAGCCTTTATTATTTTTATCTTGAGACAGGGCCTCGTAGTTGCTCAGGGCTTCACTAAGTTGCTGAGGCTGGTCTTGAACTTGTGATCCTCCTGTCTCAGCCTCCTGAGCCTCTGGGGTTACAGGCGTGGCCACTGCACCCCGCGCAGCTTTCTGGTTCTACGGGCCTGGCTCCTGCTGTCTCCTTCCTCTCTCCTAGTTCTTGGCCGACTCCCTGGTAGTTGCATAGGGACCGTCCTCAGAGGGAAGAGCAGCCCCTTCCTTGTCCAGCTGCCCAGTCAGGGGGACTGAGGACGTGCTCTCCCCCACCCAGGCAGCCCGGTGTGCCCAGGGGCTCCTTTCTGGCCCTCAGCCATCTGGGCTGTGCCCACCTGCTCCTCACTCCCCCTCCTCTCTCTAGGCAAGCCGCACCAGCTGCCCTCCGAGCCCAGGGAGAAGGCCGCGGGCAGCATCGACTCCTACCTGAAGTCGGCCAACAGCTGGCTGGCAGAGAAGAAGGACATTGCCGAGCGGCTGCTGAAGAACACGGAGAACGTGAAGGGCTTCTTTGGGGGGCTGGAGACCAAGCTGAAGGGACCCCTGGTCAGGAAGAATGAGTGAGTGTCCTGCGTCGAGGCCTCGTGCCTGGGAGACAGAGGCAGGGCCCCTGTCCAGCTTGGCCATCTCAGGTCCTGTACTGCTCCTGAGGAGCGCAGCGCTGCCCAGTGTGACTGTCCACTCTGCAGAGCTCCCCCTGGTGTCAAAGGCTGTGACACGCAGGGATGTCCTGGCAGTGTACTTCGGGGACCAGGAGGAGCATGGGCAGCTGAGGGTTGGCCGCAGGGACATCACACACCTGTCCCTCCTTGCTCCGCCCCGGCAGTGACTGGGGTTCATGGAACACACGGCAGCCATGGGACTGGACAGAAACTCGAGGCCCTTGAGGACGGGTGGGGGGTGGCAGATGCCCAGGCTGAGACACACACAGGAAGGGCACGTCCCCACCAGGAGCCACAACCACAGAGGCCCCTGACCGCCCCCGGCTCGGTGCAGGTGGCCTGGTGTCGTGCCGCTGGGCCACACAGTTCAGGTGCAGAGACCACAGCTCGGAGCCGCCTCAGCTCCACATTCCCAGGGACCAGCCGTGGACGGGACCTTGGTTCCATGGGCGTCTTTTCAGCAAACGGCTGAATGCCCCCAGCCCCGTCTCACCAATGGGAGTGGTTTGACTGGGCCTCCTTT